TCAAACAATCTTCATTGGCTCCCAATTACCATTAAAATCAAATCTTCAAATCCTTCAGTCTGGCATTCAAAGCCTTTTACATTTCCCCTTCTTCTTACCACTTACTCTGCTCTTACCTTACTTCTCATCAATCCTTGGTATGATCCGTTTACCTCAATCAACCTGGCATAGTCTCACTACCAGTTTGCAATTCTTGCTCCTTTCCTTGCCTGTAACGTCTTTCACTTCCTCTTTGCAGATCCACATTAACTGCATTCTTTAAGATCCACTTCAAGATATACCCCCTTCTAAGAAGCTTTCCCTGATTCTCTCACTGCATCACTGATATTTTGTGCTAAAACAGACTTTAAAACTTGCTGATCAAGTTCAACTTTACCCCCCCACACACATTTTTCAGATGAGAAAACTTAAGGCCCAAAAATATTAAGTGATTTGTATAAGGTCTTTGAGTTTAGTGGTAGCAACTTAATGTCAAGCCAGATTTCCTGACTCCCTTTGCAATTTCCTTTCTACACTGTTACACTTTGTCCCCATAATCCCATCCCCCCCACACAAGTTCAATGTGGTGTCATCATCATAAACTAACATCTGTGTTTGGATTGTTTTTCACCTCTATTTGGTTTATCTCAACCACCAAGTTCTAATAATTCTTGAGGGAAGGGACTATGTCTAATATTTCTGCCCCCTCTTCTCCTTCCCCATGGCACCTAAAAAGGCTGTATATACCTCAGAGGGGCAGGAAATACATCTTCACTGTGGAGTGCTTCCCTTCAAGAAAATATAAAAAACAAAACTAATAAAATGAGTACACCCAGGGTGGATTATTATATCACATACATATTCAAAAAGTTCCTTTAAACAGGGACCTCCTATAGTGAACTTGGTTACAGATCATTAACTACCATCCAGAGAGAGGGAGAATGAGAGCTGAGAAACCTCGAAGTAAAAATGTAAGAATCATTGCTCCTCTTACAGGCTTGAGAAATAGAAGGGCGTTAAGGCAGACTTCCCACTTTGCAATAGAGAGGATTTATACAGCCCCTGTCTCGCAACCCCCAACTCAGCACTCAGCACTAGCTCTGGTCTCTCTCAGCTGGAAGTTGAGTGACACGAGTTCTAAATGTCCGTTCCAACACTAATTATCTTTGTGACCTAAGACATATCACTTAATCTCACTGGACTTGTGTTTCCTCATCTGTAAAAGGTTAGGGGGTGGGAGTGTGGGATGGAAGTCCAGACTTGCTTTGCCTCACACGTTTTTTGTGAGGCTGAAGTGAGATAATACATATGAAAGTGCTTTAAAATTCAAAAAGCATTATATGAATGCAAGGTATTAACTTTTTAACTCCCATTCCTGTATCAATTAAATCGTAGGAGACTAGAGCAAGCAAAGGATAACAGGTTTGCATGTTAATCCGATCTAAATTAATTGTTGGAATCCTCTATCTTCTCTGTAAATGCTGTTCTTCATCCCGTCTCTATTTTATTTGGTAGAATATTATAAAGGTTGCTATTTTGGCTTCGCATATTGCCGAGGTGGCAGGAATGGGGGAGGTTGGCGGCTGCTGAGCCTCAAGAGAGGCACCTATTTCTTTCCCAAATTACTCTAAAGGGGGAAGGGCAGGGAAATTGAAGCTGTTGGTCAAGGAGAAAAGGGCTTGCACTCTAGCTCTACAGTGTCACTCTCTCATTCAATAATGAAAAGAAAAATGGAAAAAAAGGAGAAATAAAAGCTTTAATTTTGCCACATTTCTCAAGTTTTCTCTCCTTTACCTCTCCAGAATTCCTAGCATGCCTGAAATCAAAGGACCTATGTGCAGGCTTGGAAGAGCTTTATTTTGGGTGGTATCAGGATAAATGTGAGGCATGGGAATGAAGTAGCACATTACGTGTTCAAAAATTTGAACCCATTCTTCTGGTCTATCCTTCCTCTAGCCCAATTAGGTAACTTATATAATATGCCCTAAAGTCCCATGTTAGGGACTATGTCTGCCCTGGGACATCCAGAACCAACTCCACTCAAACCTCTGTGGAAATGGTCATCATTCTTATTCTTATGCAGCTCTTGGCCTTTATATCAGTATTGTTCAATTAGAAAAGAGCCTCTTAAGAGATCATCAATCATTCGAAATATCAAATACTGCTAAAAAGCAATGCAGGGGAAAAAAGGACACCCTAACTGGTAACCTGCAATGAATCATCCACTTAACAGACATCTTCTGAATCCCTACTATAATTCCAGCCCAGATTATGTTTTGAGGAAAACACACAAGCATCTCAGTAAAGCTTTCTCTGTTAAGAGACTAGCAGATGATGGGGGACAGGAAGGTATAGATAAGATATAGCAATGGTGTCTAGGAAGGTATAGATGAGATATAGCAACGGTGTCTCCCTACGACAGGCACCAATGAATTCTAACCTCACCCCCCACACACACACAGGGTGGTCCCATGTAAAGCATTATATTCAATGTTGGGCTGAGGAGAGACTAAAAAGCAAAGCTAAACCTTACTATAACATAAAGCAATAAGGCAGCTTGTGATGTATTGAGAAATGCCTTAAAAATTAAATTAATCATAATTAAATCCAGGCAGTATATAACCCACCCTAATGGAGCAAAAATCATGCACAAACAACTCTTTTAGCATTCACCCTCAAACTGACCTTGCAGCAAGAGTTTACATCATTAATTTTGGACTCCTTGTGATTAAGTATAGTATTAGAGACAAGAGTATCAATGAACATACATGAAGCAATAGCTCCAACTTGTCCCCTGGTGGTGTCCTGCTTGATGACACCCGATCTATGCCAAACCCCACCCTATTGCTCTCTAACCCAAGAGGCCGTCCTGAGCAGTAACTCCTCCACCTTGAACCCTTCTAATTATATGCCAGGGTTTGGTGAAAATAAGATTTAAATGTAAGATATTAGCCCCTGCTAAGGACAGAGATTTCACCAAAGCCTGAGAAGTGAGCTCCAAGCATAGGCATACTGGCTAGTCAGATCTGACATCTGCATGTTTCAGTCCTGAACTCAGGGTTAAAAGCAGCTTGGCTGCTTACATGTGGGATGTAAGAGAGGAGAAAAAGCCCAAGGAGGGTAAAAAAGATGAACCCTTTGTGTGGATTTACTGGAAAGCAGCCGGCCATCAATGAGAGACTTGATAGACAGGGCTCACCTCCCCTGGGTTTTCCTAGCCCCAGACATTAGGGATGGTCCTGACGCTAGCTTAGTAATTGCCGAAGAGTGTAGCCCTTCTCCAGAAAGGTGGGCTTAGGCTGTGATGCAGCAGTGAGGATCTGGGAATGCAGATCTCATCAGAGATTCTGGTCTTTGGAGGTGGGGGGCTAGGTGAGACTGTCTTCTTCTGTATTATTTACTGCTGGGATGTGGTGTAGGGAACACAAAAATGCGGCAGGTTTTAGAAAATTCTGGGTAGGTCAGTGTCATTTGTCAAAAGAAGAGGGATTAGTAGAGGATATGGTCTGGGAGGAGAGGGTGAGAGAAGGGGCTGCAGAAGGAGGGCTGCCATCCACAACTGCAGTATTATGTGTATCAGAGATAAATTTACTTGTCATATTTCAAATTAGGTTTATAGGTACTTCCCCCATCCCCCACACAGCAGTGGCTTAACGGGTGGGCTTCTCAACTTTTAATTGCAATTTTGCAGTGTATGGGTGTGTGAAGTCTAGGTCTGACTGAGGTGATGGTCTGTATGTATGTGTACGTGACTAACAGTCGAGAGATCTCAAGTCTCTCGATGAGGTGGGAAGGGTGCTGCGGCAGGGACCGGCTGTACTCCTCTCAAGAGAATCTTCCATCCCTAACGTCAGAGTGCTATTGAGCTATCAGGAGGTGAAAAAGGTGTGGGTGGTGCAGTGAATTTCCCCCAACACAAGGTACACACACACACACACACACACACACACACACACACATTAACAAGTTCTGTAAAAAGTCCTGCTGATGCCTGGGAAGTCCAGCTAAAAGCAGTAGGCCGTCTCCCATGGCCAGGGCGAGGGAGGCAGACTCCCGAATCGCCACGGAGACCACGGCAGCGGTCTCTTCGGAGCGCGCAACCTAGCCGCCGCTTCCCGGGGAACTCTTGCCTTGCTCTAGGGGCTACATCTGCAGGCTGCGGAAAGCCAGGGCTCCAGCCCTTTCTCATTACACACCTTTCCCGAAGCACCCCAAGCCCTGTACCCAACGGCAAACCCCTCAGATCTGGCGAAGCTCAAAAATGCAAAAACTGAGGCGGGGGGCAAATTGTACTTCAATCTTAAGGACCGAACACACGCGCGCGCGCGCGCGCGGGCGCGCGCGAACCGCATATACCCCAACCCCGTGCCGCTTAATTTCTTTCCCCGGGTTAGAAAAGAGAATTACTTGCCCACAGAGGCTTTGGAGATGGGGGCAGGAGGTTCGTCCGAGGCTAGGCTCACCTGCTGCTGAGGTGAGAGAGCAGACACAGGATGCAAAGCTGTTAGGAGCCGCAGCTCACAGCTGAGTGGTTGGGGGGTTGCAAAGACCCTCAAGTTCTCCTCTGGGTTTTGTGTGTGTGTGTGTGTGTGTGTGTGTGTGTGTGTGTTTAAATTTTTTGCATTCAAGTCACCAAAGGGTTAAACGGCTGGGCTCCAACAGCCCCCCCGCGCCGTTCCACTCCCCCCTCCCCTTTTTTGTCCCCCCCCCTCCCGCACGTCGCTAGGAGGTCATCAAGCCCTCTGTCCAGTCCGCGTTCGCAAGCCCCTCTGCTTCCCGCCCATCGGGCCCGTGGCTGCTTACGAAGAGGTGTGCGCTCACCGAGGGGCGTGTTCCAGCACTGGGAGACGCCAAGCGCCCCTGGGTTAGACCTCAGAGCGGAGCCAGCCATGGAGCGGGGCGGGGGAAAGTTTGGCACCCTGCAAGGGGTCGTCGAACAGGAGTGGGCGGGGCGCCCGAGGGTACTTTAGCCCTCCAAGCTCAGGGGCGCAAGCTGCCCAGACCTGAGGCGGTGTGCGGCCATGGACCGCGGAGCTGCCGCGGCCCAGGGCACTGCCCCGCCTCAGGATGGAGAGCAGCCCGCGGAGTCTCCAGAGCCACCGCCGCCGTGGCCGCCGCCGCAGCCGCCGCCACGGCCGCCGGCTCCTGCGCTGCTCCATGCACCTTCGCCAGAACCGGCACCACAGCTCGGTCCAGAGCCTTCTCCAGAACACTGTCCGAAGGCGACCCCAGAACCAGCCACAGAATTCGACACAGAAACGGTCTCAGAACCCGATACAGAACCGGCCCCAGGGCTGGCTCCAGAACCAGCCACAGAACTCGACAAAGAACCGATCTCAGAACCAGCCACGGAGCCGGCCCTCGAACCGGCTCCGGAACCAGCCACAGAACCAGCCACAGAACCGGCCTTTGAGCCGACCCCAGTACCAGCCACAGATCCGGCCCCCAAGCCGGTCCTAGAACCAGCCCCAGAACCAGCCATAGAGTCCTGCCCTGAGCCGGCTCCAAAGTCCCGTACGGAGCTGAGCCCAGCACCACGTCTATTGCAGTGTCCGGTGGTCGCTCCAGAGAGGGGTCTAAAGACCTCATCATCGCCCAGAACACCAGTGCTGTTCTCCAGTATAAAGGTAGGAAAAAGACCCCCTGGGGCGTGGGGGGGAAAGAAGCAAAACGAGGACGGATGTCTATTGAGCTCCTGAGACTCTGGGTACCCAGAGCATCCCATTTGGCTGCCACTGACTGGCAAAGATGCGCGGAGAGATGCGGGGATGGAGAAGCCCGGGGGAGTGGGAAATGGTTGGGAGGCGGGAAGCAACATGTGGAAGCGAGAGTGGGCTGTTGGGGCTAGAAACAGGGTGACTGCACGCGATGGGAGTCGGAGCAGTTTCCCCCATGGGGAGAAGTGTCAGTGCAGTGAGCGCCTATATCTTGAAAAAGAGGAGGAAGACGTTCCCGGGGAGCGCAAGAGACCTAGAGAAGTATTTGGGGCTGGCCCTGGGTACACGGGGATGGGACTGAGTGGTGGGGTTGGGGGCGTGGGACACACCTCTTAGCCACGGTCACTGCCGCAGAGGCCCAAGCTGCGGAACCGCAGCGGTCAGCTTAGCCCCCTCCCTGACACTGGGGAGGGGGTCACTAGCGGGGACGCAACTGGCGGCGCTCTGAGGAGGTTCCTGGCGCCTCTGTCTGCTGATCTGCTGCTGGGAGCCGGTACTCCGGGTGGGGATGAGGGGATGGGCGGCGCCCACGCGCACTGCAGGGGAAGGGCAGGGTTCGTTGGGGAGGAGGGGGAGAGCATGCGTGTGTCGAAGCCACCATTCCATCTGTCTGCAGGATTTCCCGGCAGGTAGGTGCAAACAGTGTGATATGATGATGGACCGCGTTAAGAGCGGGAGACTGGCATCCCGCACCGGGACCAGTTGGAATGGTACAGGAGTCCCGGTTTAGAGACACCAAAATAGGAGTTGGTATTTGAGAGTGTGTGAATGGAAATCCTCATCTCTTCCAGCCTTCAGAGATGCCTTCCTAAACGTTGCGGTTTGCCTGGAGAAGACAAGTGGAGGATCCTCCAGCACCCGCCCGGGGGCGGGGGTGGGAGGAGGGAGGAAGGAGGTTTTCTGTATTTGCCTTGGACCCCCTGAAACCCCGTTGGCTCTTCAGCAGGAGTCTGTTTGCCCTTCTTGCTTTCTCTGTACTCCCCCTACTCTTCCTTTTCCCCTATAAACTTCGTTCCATGTGACTGTGAATATAATGATAATGCATAGATACACCTTGATTTAGCTTCCCCTGCAGGGAAAAAAAAAACGAAACAAACAAAACACAGAAACAAACAGCACACCACACCAATGCCTGTCCATCCTGCTGCCTAGCGGGACATAGGGACAGGGCTCTGGAATCCTTCTGCTGCATACCGCACACTTGTAGAATGTAGGGGAAGGGGGCAGAGCTTGGCATCGCGAAATGGAAATGGAAGCGCTGGTTGCTTCCTGAGTTATGAGTAGGGAGGCTTGAATTTGCAAAATAACTGCAATGATAAATGACTGAACAAGAGGAAGCCTAAAGCGAAAAGTTTCACAGGGGAAAAAAGGTGTAGAGGTTTAAAAAATAAATAAAATAGGACCGTAGGAGACTAAGACAGGTTGTGGTGGCTGTTTTCAACCCAACAACTGAGTTCTCACCAGGGGTTGGATCTCCCCCTCCCTGCAGCAGCCTTTCCCTGCAATGATCTCAGAAAAGGAAAGGACCCTGCAGCTAGACACTGGAGATCACCCTAACCTGGGATGTGCTCTGGTCTTTTTGGAAGAGTTTGCAAAGAAGCAGGTGGGAGGGAGACCAGCAGGGACTACCTGAGCTATGGCCTTCTTAAGTGAGATTTTGGGAACATGGCTCAGAAACTGACACCTGGGGACTTAATTACCAGGATATCCGGCAAATATATGGACTCTTTGACCCCTGGAAGACTGACTAGAGGCCAGGAACTCCAGGGATGAACCCTGTGACAGTGGGAAAGCATGTCCCACAAGCTTGACAGGAAAATGCCTGTTGCCAGACAGCTAAGGAGGATCAAAGTAAGGGGAATCAGGTTAGTTTCCTCTACAGAGTGCCCTCTCAGACAGGCTGACCAGCTGACCCATGGGCATTTTTCAGCCCTGGCAGGGGACCAGGACCCCCCAAGGTTTGACTTTGCCCTTGGTAGAGTTAGTCATTTGTTCAGCCATTTGTCTTCTAAAATGGGGTTAAGAACCCTGACCGTCCACTAAAAGGGCCAAGAAAATGAACCCATCAGTGGCTCTAGATGATTTCAAAGGATGCAAAGGATCTGGGTAAATGCTCAGATTGCTAGGCGCCAAACCCGTCTTCAACACCCTAGGTGTTGCTATGCAGTTGCTCTGTGGTGCCCATGGGAACATCTGATCTTCAGTGATAGGATCGTTCTCTGCCGCATCCCCCTCAGGCAAACAGCACGCACAGCCAGCTGACTTGCATCTTAACATTCAAGGCAAATAGGTTCCCATCTTAGCAGGGAAAGCCTTGTTCTCAGACACTGCCTCCTTGAGGCAAGCTTGGGGAAACACACACACACACACACACACACACACACACACACACACAGAGTCTCAGAGACTGTAACAAAATACAGTTTTTATCATACAATGAAATCCTACATGGCAAGGCACAGTAAGTGCCAGTAGCATGAAACTAGCCTGAAACTACTCATTTCATCAAAGGACGAAATGAATAAAACAAAGTGTTTGAATGTGACTGCAGGTTTCTCCCAGATAATTTTTGCTGATTGGTATTGCGGTTAAAAAAAAAAAAAATTCAACATCTTCCAGTATGTAGTCTGCTCTCTATTCAGGTTTCAGAAACTGTTGGTTGCAAATCGATGCCAGTCATGAAGATGGAGACTGAGAAAAGGGGGCTCATATTGTCTTTCCAAATAGATACCAGGATAACACAATCTTGTGAACCAAACTTGTATATTCCCTTCCTTTCTAAAATGTTTTGATTTCCAGGAAATGAGCCATAGTCTCCCACCTGGTCACAGCAAGTGTAAGTGAGGATGTGTGAATTGGTTCTTTAACTATGCTATGACTTGCTTGGGGGGCGTGGGGCTTACATGAAGTATACTGTATTTGTTTCCCTTGCCTCACCTATAGTTGAAGAAAGATAGTTCATGTTTTTATCAGTTGGGTTTGACTAGCTACGAAATTATGATCACACTATACAGGTGATTGATGAAAAATCTGAAAAGAAATACACTGTTGTGGCCTTTATTTCTGGGATGGGGGTGTGTGTGATAAGAGATCCATTGCCATTTACTATTACACCCCAAACCATAACAAAGCAATTTTCTGGTATTTTTTGCACACACTTCCTTGCAAGGTAGCAAGCATTTGTTTATATGTTATCTGGTAATTCTTGCCTGAATACTTTATCGTTTTACTTATTTCTGAGCTTCTCAAAGGTAGATACGATCTCTCCCTCTCAGTGCCCAATACAATTCAGCCCTCCCTGTTTTTGCTCGGTAAACATTCGCTGAAGCTTTAAACCTAGCAATTCCATTTCCAGCAATGACAAGGACAACAACGTAGAGACTGCTACTGTGAATGAATAAAAATGCATTCTCAATGATTTCAGAGTGAGAAGTAAATGCTTACTTAAATAGCCTGAAATATATAGCCTTTAAAGAAATGTAGTCAATCTTTCCCTTTTCAAAATGGGTGTTAGAACCATAATTAAGAAGCAAATTACCAACAATTAAAAAAATGGTTTGGAAAGTATCCTTATCCCCTGTAGTTCCCAGCAGCAGTAGACTAATGATGATGTTGTTGGTTTCAGGGGTAATAAATTTTTTTCCTAAGTGAACAAAATATCTGCAGTGACTATAAACAACTTTGGGATTGTGGAATTGAATGTTTAACCTGTTGAAGGTCAGGATGAAATTAATTTCTTTCCTCTTAGGTTCTCTCCCCCACTCTTTGCCAGGTTTTGATGAAACCATCTGATTTGTTTGGTATATATTGAGATCTCCTGAACATTCGCGGCAGTGTGTTCTAGAAAAGATAATGAGATATTTGGTCAGTTGTCTTTCTTTTCTGAGAATATAATTCTTAGGTGTTTATTAAAATCTCTGACTGGGGCTTCTGCACAACCACGTCCCAAAATCAAAGGCTGGTCCATTGTCCAAAGTGCTTCCAAGGAAAGGGGGAAAATCCATAGAGACCAGGAAACCATTCAGGGATATTATAATAAGGATTATATAATCCTTTCTGCTAGTATGAGGCTCTACAGTTTGCAGAATGCTTTCCTCTGAATTATTAACTCTTATTCCCCTGACAAAGACAGCAGGGTAGGAGAAGTCAAAAATAAAACTTGACGCCTAATAGGACATAACTATTAATTTATCTAGTGTGGATTTAAAAAAAATATCCAACATAGGGCTTTCTGTGATACACAGGATCCTCATTTGTCTAAGAACAATCTTTTAAAATTAACATATAATGTATTATTAGCTTCAGGGGTACTGGTTTGTGAATCATCAGTCTTACAATTTCATAGCACTCACCATAGCACATATCCTCCTCAATGTCCATCACCCAGCCACCCTATCCCTTCCCCTCCAACCCCCCAGCAACATTCAGTTTGTTTTGTGAGATTAAGAGTCTTCTAAGAACAATCTTTAAACTGACATTCCCTTGCCTGGATTTTTTTTAAAGCAGCCATTGCTGTTCCCAGTCTGATGCTCCCGCTGGGGGCCATCCTAGAACAGGAGTCTGAGAAGGAAGGATAAGAGGCAGAGGCACAAGATCCTGAAACCTATTACTCCCAAAGAAGACATTTTTTGGAAAGAAAATAAATAGAAATTCTGCCACGGATAGGGTGCCCAACCTTTCCAAAGACTGCTGACTGTAATTCCCTCAGTGGAAAAAAATAATTTTAAGGGTTAAAAAAAGAAATCATCCATTCCTAAAGGGAGATGCACCACCCTCACCAAAGCAAATAAACCTTATTCTCAAAATAGAAAGACAAATTTACAAGTTAAAAAAAAAAAGAGAAAGAAAGGAACAGTGACCCCGGATAATGAAACTTATCCCTCCCCTTAAAATTATTTTAAGAAAAAAAG